CTGGATGATCCTCTCAGCTCAAAGAGAAATGGCGTGTCAGGTAAGAACCAACGCCCATTCAGCTTGTATTTTATTTTCTGATTTTTTTTTGGCAATATGTAAGAAAGAGCATTTATTTGTTGAGATTTGAAGTTGCCATTTGTTTGACCATTCTGATACATAGTTGAGGTCTTTTTGAAGGGTAGAAGAGTTGCCAAGGACCATCTGTAATGAAAGGAGGGGAAGGAGATCCATGTCGTCTCAATGTAAATTTAATTCAATCCTGAAATATACCTTTAAATCCAGACAATGTTGAAATGAATTACTCCCGTCTTCTAATTTTAAAATTAGAATTTTTAAAAAAAATTCAAAAAGATTTGTTGTTGTACAGCCGCAGCTTCCTTTTAGTTTTATGTTATGGTGTACTGTATGTTAACATGCTGCTGGGAAAAACACAGTGGTTAAAGATGTAAATGTGATACTGAATTATACTCCTAGTATAATTAATGGAGTTTGAAATTTTATGAAGAGCTTTGACTTCATTGAGCCTGGAACTCAGCAAAGAGAACAGTTCTATGTAAGGATTGGATATCTGGTTTAATACATCTTGGTTTAATATTGGGCACACATTTCTTATCCAGATTCCCTAACCATTTAATAACTCACTCATAAAATGGAAGGGCTTTCCACTGAGTTAAGGATCCATTAAATTGAAGTTTTACTGCGGATAGTTGTATCAATTTGATCATTGTGCAAATAACGCAAATGAACACAAATGATATACATTTGGATTTAATGGAACTGCCTCCTCTCCCTGAATGGTTCATTAAATTAGAGGAAATAGAAGCAGACAGCCATCTGGATTCTTTCACAGAATTGAATATGATGGCATAAAAGTCCACTTCCAGACCAGTGGATTTGGTGTTGCATTATTTTAAGTAGCAGAGATAATTCAGTGGGAAAAACTCTAGAATATATTTTCCCTAATGTAGTGTAGGCATGCTTATTACAATAAGAGTGGATGGAAGACTGTTTTCAGTTCCCATCAATCACTCAATCAACCCATTTAAACATTGTGCAGAAGAATTTCAAGAGAATATTACAATATTGATGTTGAATGTTTCTTTGATATTTTCTTTTTAAAATATATTTTGAAAGGGAATACTCACCCATCCGAAGCAAACACAGGACATTAATATGCCTCTTTTCATGGTCCTCAGTTAAATGAAACAAGTATTGTTAATTACTAGCCAGGCGTGTTGTGTTTAACAAGCTAAGGAAGATATGCAAGTGCATTCTTTCCTCCAACCATTCTCCTGTTACTCTTCCATCTCCTATTCCTTCATTGCCTTGGAGATGGTTGAGTTCATTTTTCTGGACATCCTTTTGCTCCCTATTCAGCATTGAAGCACATATTTCAGGGATGAAGATAAATAAGTGCTTCCTTCCACTTCGTTTGAGTTAGTTCTGAAAGGGGTAAATGCTCTCTACAGAACTTTTGCTGATATGAGCAAACTTGTCCTCAACTCTAACCTAGAAGATCCCAGAAATCAGGAGAAGGTGGTAAAGGGTTAGTTTATGATGTACTGCACATGTACATCATAAACCAACGGCAGCATTGTTGCATAAGCCATCTGCTGAGAAAGACAGCTACACCCCACGTCTGAGGTCATGGAGCCAATGGAACATGTCAGCTCATGTGGGTGGAAGTGGACAAGGACTTGCCCAAAAGAGGGTCTAAGCACCCTAGGGAGGGGAGAGGGGGTCACCAAGGTGAGCAGTCTACTCTGCCTGAATGCCGACCTGAGTGGGTTGGCCTGCAGAGTCCACAGTTGATCAGGTGGGTGGTGAAGTTAAAAAAAAAAAAAGTTGAGCCACACGCATGCTCACATCGCTCCTGAATACCCCCAGAGAGGTTTTCAGTGGGGAAATGCCCTACCACCACCAGGAGAACGCCCACTTGGTCAACCCCTCGCTATGAGGGACAAGAGGAAGCCAAGGATAACCGCATGTTTTTTATGCTTGTTGTGAACAAAATGGACTTATTACAGCCTCTAGGAACTTAACCCATTTGTAAGTAGAGCAACGTCTCTATTGCCATGCCCATCCTGTATCCTGAAGTTCTGTGGGGAAGGCATTGGAAAGATCATTTTTCATCTGCTCGCCAAGAGCTGTTAATAGGAAAGAAGATGCTGCTTTACTTTCCTGCTTTTGCCATCTATCACGTAGATATAATTTCTTACATCTTAATATCATTTCAGAAGAATATTATGGTTGTGATCAGATCTCCCACTAAAAACTGATAGCAATTTTTGCATAGATAAGGATACTTTGCACAAAGTAAATAGCTTTCTAATTTGAAAATATAATAAATAAAGCTTAGGTTTATAAAATTTTACCTTAATGGAGATTTTATTTTATTTAGTTTTATCTCACTTTTATTATTTTTATAAATAAACCAAGATGGTGAACACACTTAATATTCTTTCCTCCTATTTTTTTCTGCAACAACCCTGAGACAATAACTAATTCAAAATTACCTTGCTGGTTTTTCATGCCTAAAGTGGGATTAGAATTCAGTTTCCTGGTTTCTGGCTTGATGCCTTAAATACTGGATCGAAGTATGTTGGATGAGCCATGTAAACAAGATTACTTTTCTGTTTTTCAGCCCATAACACCTGACATTTATTACTATTATGTCTTCGAACTGGCCCATTACTTGTCTCTTATGTATTCACAGTTTACTGATATTAAGCGAAAGGTAAGAAACAAGGTTTTTTTTAAGCGCCTATAGGAATCCTTTTTAGTTAGTTGGGTTTTAAAAAAATTGCCCCTAATAATAGAAATACAACTGTTTGTCCTTGATTAAATATTAAAGCAGATTACACCACAAGTCAGAAGGTTAAAATATCTTAATTTGGCTAAAGCAGTAATTCTGAAAGTTATATATGGAGTATTCAGCTGTAGACCAAATAAATTACTTGTTTTTCAGAAAAATGTCCACTAGATGTTTTAATTTAAAAAAAATATATATTCAATAAGTTGAAATCAGTGAGGTTGATTTAAGCAAAGTGTTGTAGAATTTGTGTTTCTTATTCTTTAGCATTACTAAAATTGCAAGGATTGTGAGCAACCTGCCTTCTTCAGAAGGACTTTCTAATGTTGGATGCTTATTTCAGGACAAACTTAATGGAAGGCTATCCAACATTCATACAAACTCCTCAAGTAAGATTGGTGGGCTCTTAAAGGAAGAACAGTTCTGCTTCCACAGAAGGTTTTCTTCCATAAAATGACATGCTGCCCTGTTCAAATTAACTGCCTTGAAAAAGGGAAAATAATTATAGTCTGGAATTAGAATTGTGTTGTGACTCCTTGCAGCAGAGAAACTGTCTTTTTTTTTCAATGAGATGCATAGATAATTTGGATAGTATTGATAGTTTTGAATCTTAAATTTCATTTAGATTTTGTGTATTGTATACGCTTTTGTGTGAGCATATACATCAGTTCATTAATAATGAAGTTGTCTGAACTGCATTTATCAGTCTCTAGGGCTCACAATATAACCTTACAGGATTAGGCCAGTAATTTCTTCTAACAACCGGTTCTCTGAACTGCTTAGAATGTTAACAACCGGTTCTAGCGAATAGGTGTGAACTGGTAGAATCCCACCCCTGCCAGGCACCCTAAAGAACATATGTTTTCATTGTATCTATTTCAAATGGATGGAGCAAAATTCTTTGAGGTTGATTTTATAATTAGATTATACAATCTTTGTAATTGTATTTTTAATTGCTTCTATCTTTTATCTTTTTATGGTTTGTAAGCTGCTCATGGTTGCCTTATCAGCGAGAGAGGCAGCATATAAATATAGCAAATAAAGAACTAAATAATTGTAATACAATGGTAAGAGGAGGGAAGAAAGGGATGGAAATAGGATTACTATAGAAGTAAAATGACAGAATTATTAGGGCCATAAATAAATTACATAATCCTGTGCTACTTAAAAGTCATTATTTTCTCCACAAAATACTAATGAGCTTTGAAAACTTAATCAAGCTTTGGAAACTAGTTGGGGTTTCTGTCATACCTTTGAAGAGTCATGAGCTCTCTGAGAAGGAAACAGCATAGTTTCTTAAGAGCACAATGGGTAGCTGAAGATTTGGAAACCTACTCTTAGTAATTAGTTTTAACTTGAAAATATATTTGCGTGCCATTAAGCAGTTAGCATTCCATGAAAGTTTTTCACACTTGGGTTATTCTGAATGCTTCTTTTTATCAGAGTACATTAATTTCTTGATCATTATAGTTATTTCTATCTTGTTTCCTCTCAATTTAGGATTTCTTCCTGATGTTTGTCCATCATGTGGCTGCTGTTGTACTCCTTATCTGCTCCTACATAAACAAAATGGTCCGAATAGGTACTTTGGTCATATGTCTCCACGATTCAGGAGATATATTATTAGAAGTGAGTACTCTGGATTTTATTATTTAATACTATAATTCAGTATACAGTACTGATTTCCTTACCATCAATTTTTGTGGGATTTTTTCCCCTCACACACACAAAAAGATTACAACAATGTGTTATACTATGTATACATAGCATGATGATTTGTAAGTAGTCCGTTTAAGGCAACAAGCTGTTTCTTAAAACCAGGCCCTTTAAAAATCATTTGTGAATGGCCCAGGCTAGAAAACCAGAGATCATGAGTTCAGGTGCTATTTTAGCCATGAAGGCCAGCTGGGTGATCTTGAGCCAGTGACTTTCTTTCAGTCCAACCCATCTCACAGGATTGTTGCTCTGGGGAAAATAGAAGGAAGATGTATTGGATATGTTCATTGCTTTGGGTGGTTTGTAAAAATAATAAGCATGGAATACAAATAGATAGTCATCTAAACATGCTTGGATGATCCTTCATGTAGATCACTATTAACAGCAAACACTTTGATACATAAAAGAGCATTTGTTTGGAATATATACTGTCACTACAAGTAGTTCTCATTTAGCCACTGCTTAATTTAACAGCTGTTTGCAGTGATGAAAAGGCAATTATGGCCTTTGCAGGTCTATAAAGCAAAAGAAAGCTGAATTAAAATGATAAGCACAGTTACGCTTTCACTTAATGACCAAATAGCAAGTCCCAATTATGTTTGCTAAACAACACTTGCCTGTACTTGTAACTGATGCTGACTGATATTATTGGATAACACCAGGCCTGAAGCTTCTCAATTTAAGAGGCTGTTATTTGAAAGTTCTTGATCTTTGCCATAGTCATTTTCTATTAGTTCTTTCTGAACTTTTATTTTGAAAATAAAGAATATTATTGTATTGTTTCTTCATTGGGCCAAAATCAGATTCATAGTTACTTTTTATTATTAATATAATATAATATAATATAATATAATATAATAATAATAACAACAATAACAACAGCAACAATAATAATATCGCAGTCAGTATAATCTGTTGTCTAAATGATAATTATGTTAGATGGGCAGCTAGAGTTGTTTTAATGCTTTCTGTTTTTCCAAGCTTGCAAAATTGTTCAACTATGCGAAGTATCAGCGACTCTGTGATGCCACCTTTGTATTATTTGGTGTGGTGTTTCTTATTACCCGCTTGGGGATTTTTCCTATTTGGTAAGTATGATGAGGGACATCCAGCTGTAAATGTTATACATTGGAAAGATCAAGCCAGTGGTTTGGTAGAGACTTAATAGTGCAGTGTTCTCAGAGATAGAAATAGAATACAGGTAATTTAATTGTATAAGTTTTATTTATGAAATATAACAAACAGAAAAATATGTCAATGGTTCAATTAAAATTTTACTTAATGATCCTGAAAATAAACTAAACTTTTAAGGGAAAATATATTAAAATCCACAAATATTCATAAAAATTGGTCTAGTAATATTAAATCAAAGCTATATAGAAAGTTGTCTTCTCAGTTTTCGAATGTAAAAGCATTTCAAACATTAAACAAGAATACATCTCTTAACTTCGGTTTTTAACATCAGTGTAAAATTATTTCCATCAACATAGGATAATTCTCTCTATTGAACCCTAAGCTTGATAAATCTAAAGTTCTTCACAAAATGTTGAATTCCATAATTTTTGGAGTATAATTCAGCATCACATATATAACTATGTCCCCCCCCCCCTCCCCGGGGTTTATTGTACATACATATAGGCAAACATACATTTATTTAGGACCAGAAGAGAGTCAAGGAAAAACATGGCCAAGTCATGTGGGTCAAAAGTCATCAAATATCTTACAGTGTCAAAACAGAAACTCACTTAAAAAAAAATGAGGAGTATAATAAACACAAAGTTTTCTGAGAAATTGATTTCAAGTCTTAGTCACAAGAAGTCCTATTTTACATTTTTTGAAAATTGACACCATTGGTTTTGGAACTGAATATTCCAATCCCTTATTCCACATATCATAAACATTACTAATATTATATTTTCATCATTTACTGAAAATTATAATAGCTTTATACTATTACCCAGGGGCATGTAGGATCTGTGAAGTTTACTAATTCCTTTTTTCCCCCTCAAAAGTTTATTTTTTACATTTCATGAATTGTCTCTTTTAGTGAACAGTTTGGTTCCAGATTTTTACATTTCCACACAAACATGAATTTCATATTCAGTTTCATATTATATCGTTACATATATTTTCTATTCATATCTTAATTTTTCCATTTTTCTTCAAATATTCTGTTATCTTCTTGATACAGATTCTTTATACAATATTTAAAGTTATATATTCATTTCATGTATCATTACAGTTATAAATTATATAAATTTTATCTAATATTCATACTTATTCCATATATTTCTATTCATGTCTTAACCTTTTCTATTTTTCTTAAATTATTCTCTTTTTAATACAAATTTCTTTATACAATTTTTAAATTCTTATTTCTATTTCAGTACTCCTTGTACTTATATTTATCTCTGTCATATTTGTAAATTCATTGCATATTCTTGATTAATTATTCAAAAAATTGCATTATAACTCTAATAATTAATAAATTCAAAAGCCTTTAATTACTAATTTGAGTGTGCCACCCCTTTGTTTTATACATCACTCAATTAATTCCCCTTGTTCATAATAATATTTAACATGATATAGTCATTTTAATTAACACTTTAAATTAATAATAATAACCTCTTATATATACTTTAAAAAGATTCCGCATGTTATTTACCTTATCTTCTAATTCAGTTATTCTTCCAAATATCATATTATAAAAAACTGATGTTAATTTAATTTAGTTTTTACAACAATCTTCGTAGTACTTTCATATATTCCCCCTTTTCATTTTTATTATTTTATTAATATTACTACCCATTATCTTGCAGAATCCCTTTTTGAAGTCCATAGCTAACTTTGTGTCTCGTAACTAAACAATTTCTTTTCATTTTTACATGTATATGTGGATTTGAGGGTGGGTTGCAATTACCAAAATATATGTCTTTAGATTTTTACAAAGGTAAAAACCAGCTGTGGGTTTTAAAAGGTCTGTGGGCTTTTCTCCCTACATTTGGGGGGGGGGGGGTTAAATGCAGACCCTGGCTGCCTTTTAGGTGCTCCTTTCCCCCCCAGCTTTTGAGGTATTGATTTATTTAAGTTTTGTTTAGTCACCCATCTTAAACAACTTTTCTAATTCTGTGAGACTTATGCCTTCCAAATCCTGAAAATCATTGAACGAAATAAAACAGAGCATGTTCTCATTTAAGGAATTGGTAAGCAATTCACCAGATTACGGTGGGGAAAAACCAAGTGGAAAGAAAACTTGTCTTCACAATTACCTGCTGCTATATCAGCACTCAGATTTGAGGCATTTTCGCTCTTTGTGGGTAAGGGTGGGGAGATGTAAATGGGAGAGAAGTTCCTGCTGATTTAGATAACCTGTTTCTGATTTAGAATTTGTTAAATCTTGTTAAAGTTCAGAATAAGACAATGAATGCAAACCTCTTCTTGTTTGATTTCTAGGATATTGAATAGTACCATGTTTGAAAGCTGGGAATTAGTTGGCCCCTATCCATCCTGGTGGTTGTTCAATAGCCTTCTCTTAATACTACAAGTATTACATATAATCTGGTCCTACTTCATCATTCGCATTGCCTGCAAAGCTATGGCACGAGGAAAGGTATGCATGGCTAATTTCATTACCAGAAAAATGAGTGTGGCTTTCATTTTCTTCACAATGTCTTTTGAGTGAATCACTGAAGAAAGAGGGTTGCCACCTCACTGAAGGTTTCCATCCTAAATTATACTGTAATGCATACAATAGTTACATTCTGTACTGTAGTACTCAGCAAATATTATTTCAGACAAACTTGACTCTAGTAAATACCTAGGTTCATTAATATTGTTTTCTTGACAGCACAATGGAAATGGTCTGCCACAGCTTTCGTCCATATTTTTTTCAACTTCCCATATTAACCTTTAGCACTGAGATTTCCTGGTAGTCTTTCAGCTAAGTGTAAACAAGGTTCAACCCTGCTTAGAGCTTGGATGTTTGTTTGTTTTTTGAGATCATCAAGGTCAGCTAGAATCAGATCAGTTTTTCATTGCCTTTTAGTCATGTATGTAGGACTCAAGTTGAATTTATTTAAAAATACCTGTTTTTTTCACAGTTCTTTATTATACTGGGAAAGGAAACCGGGGCAGGAAAGGTAGAAATAAGCGGTTGTCAAAGTTGCGACAGTGGGGAAGGATTCCTCATGGATTAATATATTATGAAATATAAATAATAAGGGCACTTGCTTATGAAATCATTCCACCATGGAAGTATTGAGCAATTCAGTTTTTTTTAATAATCTGGAATTGAATCAGCTGTCCTTCAAACATTGTGTAAACGAATTATAACTGGTGGTGTTTTTATTCCTATTATGGGCCAAGCCCACCAGATGCAAGCTATGGCCAGCTTCATGTGAAGGGGGATGAGACTCCTTCAACCATCCCTGAACTCCTTGCTACATTCTCTCTGTTCCATTTTTGGAAATGCAATCCTAGTGATCACTCCTTGGATAGGGAAAGATGCCAGTTCTGCTTGTGTGCTTAGAGGTCTGTGTAAAGTTTAATTAATGTAAGGTAAGCTTATGTTATTGGAGCATATGGCTTTATAAGTGGGCATCAATTATCTAGATAGAACAAGTTGCACCTGATAGGAAGAGAGTTACAAACTCATGCTGGGTTATGCAAGTAACTGAAGCTATGTCTTTTGCTTGGAAGAAATGCTTATCAATTCCCCTTTTGACTTTCAAACCAAGCTTTTAAAATAAGAATTACGAAAAACAAGCTCCCAAGGTATCAAATATTGCAAAAGTACAAATACATGGGACATCATGTAGAGCCATGGTGGCAAAATGATTAGAATGCAGTACTGCAGGCTAACTCACTGCTCACTCCAGGAGTTCAATTCTGACTGGCCCAAAGTGGACTCAGTCTTCCATCCTTCTGAGGTCGGTAAAGTGAGGACTCAGATTGTTGGGGTCAATATGTTGACTCTGTAAACCGCTTATGAAGCCACTATGAAGCAGTATATAAGTCTAAATGCTATTGCTATCATGCCAAGTGGCTGCCATAATTTTTTAAAAAACATGGAGATTACATGGCAAAAATGTCCTAAATTCAGATTTTATACTATCAGGGGAGAGGAGGGGACTCTCACTGAAAAGTCACAATGCATGTTTATCTTTTGTGAAGTTTTTGCTCTAATATGAAAAGAATTCTTTCAGATTAATTATTCTCTTTCATGCTTCTAATTATTAAAAATGAAGAAATTTAGAGTTAATCTGAAATTCATCTACTTGCTAATGAGACAGGGTTAGGACCATAACTGTTAGTGTAGAAGGGGAAAAAAAAAGATTTTTCAAAAGCTTTCATGAGAACAGAGAAATATCATCTCAGGAATAATCACAGCACAGTTTATTGAAGCATTATTTAAGAACCACCTATGTAAAAACTACATTTCACATTTCAAAATAATCTCTCAGGAATTTGTGCCATGAGAATATCTAAATCCTCCTGCGGGCACTGCATTGGTCGCTGATTTGCTTCTGGGTGCAATTCAAGGTGCTGGTTGTCACCTTTAAAGCCCTTCATGGCTTGGGACCAGGTTATCTGAGGGACCGTCTCTTGCCAGTCGCATCTGTTGTGGGTCCCATCTTGGAAGTGAAAAGGGGCCTGGTGGGTGGCGCCGGACCCCTCCCACGCCCTGTTTTGGGCTTAGAAAGCCTCTCTGAAGCCTCTTGGAAGCCAAAATGGAACGCGGGGAGGGGGTGCTGCCAGACCCCCCCCCCATACCCCATTTTTGCTTCCAGGAGGCCTCCCTACACTTACCGGGGAGCCAGATGGGCTTTGTGGGGACTCCTGGGTGGGGAGGGGAGGGGTGGGAGGGGAGGGGCCAGCTGGTAGTCAGAATTACTGGTTCACTGAACTGGATGCCTAATTAACAGCCAGTTCGCTCAAACTGGCTGAATCCCACCCCTGGTTTTTATTGTTTTAAATGTGGTTTTTTTTATTCTGCAAGCCACCTTGAGTCGCCATGGGCAACTAGGCAGCAATATAAATTCAATAAATCAATCAATAAATCCCTTAGTTTACGTCTGAATACAAGAGGGAAATAATGTTTCGGATAAACAAACCAAACTATCTTACTCTCCTGAACCTTTCTTCCCTTTGTATAGTGACTATTTTAGGCCTGTGTCTGCAGTGTTGCTGCAAAAATTGAGATTCTTGAAATCTGTAATCTAAAAGATTGCTTGCTTGGGAGATAGCCCATTGAGGCAATGGCTTTTTGTACGCCAAGTCTCCTGATACAATAGAGAGATGGTTTAGTTATACATGCTGTAAAAAAAAAAGCTTTAAGCATCTGATGTAATGTAGGAGAGGGCTTTTTTGCAACGTAGGAAAGGGATTGTACAATTTACAATCATTGAACTCATCATTATATACTGGAATCTAAATTATTTATGATTAGAGTGCTGAACTGGAGTCTCAGAAACCAATATTTTTACAAATATAAGCAATTCTATTCCAGTATTATGCATTTATTTTCCAAAATAACATTTTTTTAATGTTTGGATGGTTTTTCTCTACTGAGTATTCAAATTATCCTCATTTTTCTGTTTGTATCTTCCTAGTTCTATTTCATAGTTACTAATTTAAAAGCCTATGTGTGTATTTCTGTTGAATGGCTACAAGTAATTTCCAAGTTGGGGGGGGTCTCTTTGGTTTTCTTTCCTGATCAGGTTCCTAGTCAGGAGTGGACTCTTCCCTGTATTCTCCATTCTCTCTCATTCCTTTTCTCTGTACCAGACTGAAGCTGTATCTCTTCTTTTTTATGTAAGTGCCATCTCTGCTACAGTTGTAAGGGGAAGAGGGAGGGCTGCCTTCCCACCCACCCCCGCGCTTCCTGGGCTTTAAATGCTTAAATCATCCCAAACTAAATCTCAGAGCTACCTAATGTCAAGTGGAAACTGCTTCACACGTCTCTTTTGAATTGTTATTATTCTGAAAGCCACTTGCAGGAAATTCAAAGCTTAGACTAGGAAGTTATAGTCTTCAGTATTATTCATCTCTGTAACCACTTGTATTCCTTTTAAAGTTATTTTTATTTAATAAATATTTTCTTTTTAAAATAAAATTAAAAAAATAGGAAAGCCAGATATCATAAAATGTTAAAATATTTTATTTTAAATCACATAAGCTTTACGATGAAAAACTACAGTGTGCAAAATATAAAATCCTGGTCATTTCATTGCTTCTCAAAATAATACTTTTGGTCATCTTGGAAAAGTTAAGATGAGATTTTACCAAACAGGTATTGTATAGGGCCCACAATTCCAGGTCTCTTCCTCATGATATAAAATGAGGGAACCTGTCATAATGCCCTAAGCACATAGAACCAAGCCATCATGGTGTTTAAAAGTTAAAATTGGGATAACTTTTAATTGGAATTGGCACAGAAATCCAGAATATAAATGCTTTATAATATTTTCCAATTGTTTTGTTACAGCTGCTTCAGAAAAACAATGCTCATAAATTAAGAATAGATCCAGCCTTTTCTGTTTTCTAATGTGCAAGAAATTTCAGGAAAGAGCAGGATATTTACAGCTCTAAAAAGTAGGTCTGTCCAATTGGCCTTAGCAATCATTAACTTGCCACTGGTATGGCTTTATTCTGATTTTTATATGCCTTGTTTAGGCTGTTCAAAGTGCATACACCTGGCTGAGAGTGATCATGGGTGAGGCTAGTTTGAACACATCCTACCCTTCTTAGCCTTGCTAAATCAGAGATTTAGATTTGTTCTAACCCTAAGCAAGTGTTCAAATGATAATATAAAATAATTTGTTGGCTCTTTAGAATTTTAGCAGTTCAGCCTTGCTTATTAATCTCAATTAATGCTTTTACGTTTCTTTCAGCAGCAATATATTGCCACCTTGCAAGCCAAACTGCTAAACCTTTGAGGTTTATGGAATTCTGCTTTTCTTTCCCTCTTTCAGTTGAATTAAGATGTTGATAGGCATTCCAGTATCAATCAGTCAGCTGGTCCATTTCTGCTAATGTCAAAACTTTTCTCATTCATTCATGCATTAGTAAAATCAAAATTATGGCAATAATTACTTTTGCTGTTATTATAGTTCCTGATAAAACATTTTCAAAATGTTTACTAAAGTGATGTAACTGTAACAGTGCAATAGAATTACTTCTGAATTACTATACTGGGAAACAGTGCTATATTTGGATCAATTTGAGTGATTTGGAATGTAAAGCCCGTTTCCTTCAATGTTTGATACAATTGACACAATTTTGTTACCAGGTTATATTTTCTTACTATCAAGTTCATTCATAGATTATATTCAGGAAAATAAATGGTATGCATAAGGTTCCTATGTATGTATTCTATTCAGGTTACTTCCATTTCAGTTTAGATGTCTCTCCTGATCTCTTTATTGTGATTGCCTTCATTATATCAAAATATTGTTGTTTTATAGTTTATCTAAACTATCTCAGTTATTCACATTTTTGCAATTTCTTTGAGATAATTATCAAAGTGATATTATAGTGAGAATTAAAAGAGACAACTCCTTCATCACCAGGGTCAGCCAGGAGCTGATCATGCGAAATGTATCCTATCATGTAAATTATTTTCAGATTTGTGAATTTGACAGCTGTGAATTTATTGCAGAATATTTCTGTTCAGCTTTAAATTAAATTTGGTGGATATGTTCAGTTCTTTTTCCTTTCCCAATTTAATGCATGTTGATTCTGAAATGATCATGTATACCTAATAAAAAAATTGTACTCCAGGATATTCTGCTAATACAAACATAAGTACAGAAATACTATGAAGATATTTTTCTGTAGTTCTAGGCTGTCTTTTGACAAATTCTTCAACTGTTATTTATTATTCTACAGCTACTTGCTTCTTTTGTATTGCAAGCTGAGATGTGTTTCCTGTTTCAGGCCAGTCTTTTCTCAATTGCTTTGTATCTGATTATTTTGTGGCAACATAGCTCTGTGGTCCCCATGATTATTTCATTGACTTAATATAAAAATGGGAAAAAGATAAAAGTGTAAAGAGATGGGCTATTTTTTTCCATTACTTTGCTTGACCACCTTACAGTGAAACAGATGAGATCAATTCAGAATAATGGTTGGGAATTATCTATCTTCTCTTGTGATGCTGGTTTTTTTCAAGATAAATTATGGAGGATCCTCTCTTTCTTCTGAGATGTTTTGTTGGGCAGGTTATGGAGCACTTAGTCAGATCAATCTGGCTTTAATTTTGCTATCATCAGCTACATGTATTTTAAAGATACTTTAAATATTCTTAAGAACATTAAATCTATTTTAGTTTTTAAAGCTATTTTTTATTAGTAGTACATTTATTAGTAGTATGCTAACATTTTGATTGTTAGCTGTGGTGTCTTTGAAAGAGAAAAGGCAGAAAATTTGTTATTAAAATGTATTCCAGTAGAAAATTTAATATATAATTAATGCTATCTGCTCTGTTCACTTATAGTAGAATGATCTAAAACTAGCATGTTATTATATCTATGATTCTGCCTCCTTCAATATTATTTTCATTATTTTTTCAGCAAGCCTTGCTCTCAAAGAACACTTGATTATTTCTGAGAGGCTGTTCAGTTTCCTGGTGCTGTTGGTCTTTTTCTTAAGTTGTTCAGTTCCATAATAAAATGTCTAAACCATACCATTGAAAGAACAAGCATCTACTATATATGAGTCTGTTTTTAAACTATTTTTTTAAGTCCTTATTTGTGGTATACTTTTGCTTCTTTTTATCAGGTATTAAGAGATGAGCGCAGCGATGTGGAGAGCAGCTCTGAAGATGATGTGACTTCAAACAACAGAAAAGGAATTATTAACACTTCAAGCAATGATTGCAATCGGATAAATGGCCATGTAATTAGTGACCAATGGGCAGAAGAGTAAAAACAGGGGATAGCTGCCCCACAATCCAAAGATTTGAATACAAATATCTAGAAATGCCCAGTTACAAGAAATTTTTAATCAACTGCCTCACCACTCCCAAATCCTCTAGCGAATCTGAAACAGGACAGCACAGGCAGTTTTGCACAGGATGAAGAAGCTGTTTGCTAGTGCAAAACGTTTTTCGACTTCAACGTTTAAAGAAAATAAGCCATTTTGAATTTAATGTTTGTTGAAATATGTAAGAGGAAAGAAAATAGGCTTCAGAATTTTTGTTTTTTGGGGGGTTAAGCTTGATCACCAACAGGTTTTGTCTGCTTTATGGCATTCCAGGATTTTTGGACAACGATCTATCACTCTATATTTCTTGTAGGACCTATTGGGCTACAGCTAAAGAACCTGGGGATTGTGCTACAGATAGATTGAAGGGTTTGCTTATATCAATGGCAAATATTTTTTTCCTCATGTCATCTTACTGAGTGATAAGAAAGATGAAGCTGGCATTTATTTGCCTTGAGTGATGCAGCATCTCCAAAGTCTTCATTGTGATTTCCTACAACATCCTCCTTTTCATACAAATTCTGGATTTGAGTTCATTTAAGAATTACAAAATGAGATGAGTAGTTTTCAGTGATAGGATTGTAGATAGGGATGACCAGTGTTTGTTGCTAATTGTCTCATAAAGATAAGTTGTGAATGTACCCATGTTTTCAGAAGAAAAGTGATATCCTGGATGAACCTCAATCTTGTGCGATACTGCTGGGATGCAGTGGCCATCTCACAGGGATTGGGTCTCCTGTCCCCACTTGCCTTTTATTCAGTGGTACTTCAAAGGAGATGGAAGATGGGGAAGTGTTGATAGGACTTGGGTTTTGGAAATCCCCTGAATTATCATCATTTTATATTATTGTTTACTCTGTGATTAAAAAATCCTTGATGAATAAGATCTCTATGGATTTTGTTTTATTGAGAAAGATAATTTTCGTTGTGGTTTTGGCATAATACTGCTTGCTGTTGTTAAAATTTAGGGATGAAAAAGAACCATCCATTTTGACACTGCAAAACAAATAGCTCAAGTTTGTGTCTCAGTAAGGCATGATTGCTGTTCTAACCCTACGCATGGTCTTTGGATGCTGTGGATGATGATCCTTTATTGGCTCCCAGAAAATTAAATATAATTTCTTTATTGCTTTTTATTTTTATTCTAGTGCAATGAAAATGCAAAACCATCTGCTTGCTAGGTAGCATATAGATTTAAAGGACTGATGGACTAGAAGGATCTAGCTAAAATCAGTTGAAGAATGGTCAGGGAATAAATCATCCAAGAAATTCACATCTTTCAAGAGCTACTTAAATTATTCCCAATTTTTCTCTCTTGGTGAAGAGCTACTTAAACTATTCCCTATGCCAGAATAAACAAGTTGTTGGAGATGTGAGATACAGATATTGTTTTAAAATTGGGAGAGGAAGTTGGTAAGAATGAAAAGCTTACTCTGGTCTAATGAGTTGGTTCTATTTGAGAGGAGTTTTTTTAAGGCCAGAAAGAAATGACAACGTATTGTAAATTATCTGTAAATAAATCTTTTAATGGTTGCTTCAGTTTCTACTGTAGGATTGAGAGAAACTGAGCAAAGAATTGAATGACTAGAATCATACAGCTATTTCCACTTTTTCAACACAATTTGAAATTCCCATTCTTCATGGCAGAAAATCCCAGAAGTTTGTGATAAAACATACCAGTCTTCCATTTATGACACATACTATGATGTGTTCAGTGTTCACTGCTTAGTATCATCAGCATTTATCCCTTGCTCCTTCAGTTGTATATTTCTCTGATATGCCCGATATACACCATTACTCAGGAGGTAGCCACCATATAGAGTAAGAAGAAACATGGAGCTCGAAAATGTCTTGTAGCCAAGGTCAGCCAGCTGCTTTGCAGAAATCATTTTTGCTGTAAAAAAAGCGAACAGCTTAATTCATAATTAGGACACCTTGGGGGGAACAAACAAGCCTTTTAAATACACTGCTCAAAAAATAAAGAACACAAAAATAAGACATCCTAGATCTGAATGAATGAAATATTCTTATTACATACTTTGTTTATTACATAGTTGAATGTGCTGACAACAAAATCACACAAAAATTATCAATGGAAATCAAATTTAGCAACCCATGGAGGTCTGGATTTGGAGTTACACTCAAAATTAAAGTGGAAAAAAACACTACAGGCTGATCCAACTTTGATGTAATGTCCTTTAAACAAGTCAAAATGAGGCTCAGTAGTGTGTGTGGCCTCCACGTGCCTGTATGACCTCCCTACAATGCCTGAGCATGCTCCTGATGAGGTGATGGATGGTGTCCCGAGGGATCTCCTCCCACACCTGGACTAAAACATCCCCCAACTCCTGGACAGTCTGTGGTGCAACATGACATTGGTGGATGGAGCGAGACATGATGTCCCAGATGTGCTCAATTGGATTCAGGTCTGGGGAACGGGCAGGCCAGTCCATAGCATCAATGCCTTCGTCTTGCAGGAACTGCTGACACACTCCAGCCACATGAGGCCTAGCATTGTCTTGCATTAGGAGGAACCCAGGGCCAACCATACCAGCATATAGTCTCACAAGGGGTCTGAGGATCTCATCTCGGTACCTAATGGCAGTCAGGCTACCTCTGGTGAACACATGGAGGGCTGTGCGCCCCCCTAAAGAAATGCCACCTCACACCATTACTGACCCACTGCCAAACTGGTCATGCTGGAGGATGTTGCAGGCAGCAGAACGTTCTCCATGGCGTCTCCAGACCCTGTCACATCTGTCACATGTGGTCAGTGTGAACCTGCTTTCATCTGTGAAGAGCATAGGGCGCCAGTGACAAATTTGCCAATCTTGGTGTCCTCTGGCAAATGCCAAACATCCTGCATGGTGTTGGGCTGTAAGCACAACCCCCACCTGTGGACGTTGGGCCCTCATACCACCCTCATGGAGTCTGAACGTTTGAGCAGCCACATGCACATTTGTGGCCCGCTGGAGGTCATTTTTCAGGGCTCTGGCAGTGCCCCTCCTGTCCCTCCTTGCACAAAGGCAGAGATAGCGATCCTGATGCTGGGTTGTTGCCCTCCTACGGCCTCCTCCACGTCTCCTGATGTACTGGCCTGTCTCCTGGTAGCACCTCCATGCTCTGGACACTACGCTGACAGACACAGAAAACCTTCTTGCCACAGCTTGCGTTGATGTGCCATCCTGGATGAGCTGCACTACCTGAGCCACTTGTGTGGGTTGTAGACTCCGTCTCATGCTACCACTAGAGTGAAAGCACCGCCAGCATTCAAAGGTGACCAAACCCTCAGCCAGAAAGCATAGGAACTGAGAAGTGGTCTGTGGTCACCACCTGCAGAACCACTCCTTTGCTGGGGATGTCTTGCTAACTGCCTCTGCTTTCCACCTGTTGTCTATTCCATTTGCACAACAGCATGTGAAATTGATTGTCAATCAGTGTTGCTACCTAATTGGACAGTTTGATTTCATAGAAGTGTGATTGACTTGTAGTTACATTGTGTTGTTTTAAGTGTTCCCTTTATTTTTTTGAGCAGTGTATATACATTGTATATATAACTTGTTAAAAGACTAGTGATACATGGATGTTTTGGAATTTAGCTGAATAGAAACCAAATTGTGGCCAAAAAAAAAATAGAATCACCTCCTTCATTAGAAAAGGCAGTTCTCTATTACTATCATGATCTTTAATAAGTGTACCTTTTCCATGCTAGTTGATAAAAAAGTTAGTTAAAATTTTATCTCTTACAGGTGTATAGGTACATAAATTTCATAAAATTACTTCACAAATAGTAGTGGAAGCTTGGAGCCAACTTCTAGCAGAGGTGGGTCAATCATCAATAATTGAGTTTAAACACACTTGGTATAAACACATGACCATCATCTGACAAAAAATAATAATTCACAGGGTACTCAATGGAACACTCAGTCTTTTGATTGTCAGTTTTCTGTTTCTAAATTCTGGAAAAAAAAAACATTTAAAACTGTTTCCTTAGATTAGGCATCTCCAAACCTGGCAACTTTAAGACTTGTGGACTTCAACTACCAGACTTTCTCAGCTGGCCATTTTGCCTAGGGAATTTTGGGAGTTGAGGTCCATAAGTCTTAAAGTTGACAGGTTTGAAGATGCCTCCCTTAAATCGAATGCAGCATCTCATTCAGAACATGACTGATTCAGGACAGCTTTTGTAGACAAGTCATACAACATGTTGTGCTAAAAACAAAAAGAGATGAACCTGCATCAATTTAAATGTTTGTGCATGTATACACCGAAACAGATGGACTGTACAATGGTAAAACAGCAGTTGGAACTGTAGGCTTGTCTAGATTAAGAAATTCCAGGAGTTATTTTTTTCGTGAAGAGCAATGAAATCTTCCCTTTAAAAGACATTTTGCTGTTTAAATGACAGACTGATAGCCCTGTATTGGCAATTCCTGTTTACATATGAAATATCTTAAGTTCTTGAACTGAGACAACCATGTGACCTGGATGATTGAGAATGTCTATAGACAAGCCTCCCACTGGATTATAGTGATGCTAGGGCAAAAGACTCCTCATGCAAAGACAGTTAAGAAAAGATGGCTAACATTTTTGCCTTTAAGGCCACATGTGATACTGGCTGGTGGGTCAGGAGGCCTAATAGATCAGAGGTGTCAAACTCATGGCGCCACATGACTTATCGGGACTTCCCCCCCTCCACTTCACTAGACCGGATGTGGGCATGGCCAGTGCATGAACCATCTGGCCCTCAGGCTGGCAGTTTGACAACCCTGTAACAGATGCACGAACAATACTTGATTATCTTTCTCAGCAGGTTGGTAGGTAGGGAGAAAAAGTTAAAGCCATCCCCCTGTGATTTAACAATGTTGAAGCAATTGTTGATTTTCTGGAAGGTGCAGCAAGCAACCAGAATCCTCTCAAGATAGAAGCCAGAAGCTCAGATTTCTTTTATTCTGTTAGGATGCTATGGTTCGTGGGTTTTGCAGTAGGAAGGTGATTTTTTATGAATAAATTGAGGATCCATTAATATATAAGCCAGATACAGGTTTCTCTCCTTTAGAATTCCACTGGCTGGACCTTTAAAAAATAGCCTGCAAACTATTGATAGTAAATTGGCAATGGCTGCCTGTAGAAGTTTGCACTGCAGGCAGCCCACTTAATGCCCAAGTCTGCATTAAATGATGGCAGTAATAAAAAGTGGTCTGAGAATGCTTTAGAAAATATTTCCAATATATAAGTTTAAATTATGCCAGCAGCCTGGAGAGGAGGAGGAGGAGTAGTTAGAGGAGACAAAGCATTCTTGACCTAAGTGCTTTATGGCTTTAAAGCTTATCAAGACCACTTCAAATTTTGCCCCAAAACACAAGCTGGTAACTGGCAGTTTAATAGTACCGTTGCAATGTGATCTTGCCTGTGAGTATCTTTCAACTATCTCACAGCTGTATTGTAGGCAACATGCTGTTTTCAGAATCTTTTAAGGGTTTTCCTGGGATTCGATGAAAGGCACACTGCAAAAACCAACATTTTGGAGTTAAGAAAAGATGTTAAAGTAAGCAAACTATTTTTCCCATTTCTTAGCAAGAATTACTTACTGCTAGTCAATACAAGGTCATATACACTCCCTTTTTTCTGTACACATAATTTGAAAATAAACATTGCAAACAGTTTGCGCGTGCATGCGCGCACACACGCGCACATGACTGTAACTTAAAATTGCTTTAACTGCCTTTGGTTTTCCAAGATGTAATACTGAACACATGGCTTTTTCTGATTACTCTAATCACATCCTACTTAGTAGACAAGCAAACTCTAAAAATAGCTAGTTTTTGGTAGACAGGCATAAAATTCCTCTTCTTGCTCTGATTGTTATATTTTCTATCTTCAAACTCAGGTCTACATTGAAAAAAAAGCTACCTCCCCTCTTTGTTTTTGGCACGCTTCTCTGCATTTTGCTCTTTTTCACTAAGCTTATTTTCCTAGAAACAAAACAAACCTTCAGCTATGTAACCCTGCCCAGTCCACTTTAGGTACTGTATACCAGCCTCTTATTACTCTTTACTAATGCCAGCACTACATCTTCAGCAGTGTGACATTTAATTTTCTAGTTATGACACCTCAAGTTCTCTCCCCAGTTGTTCTTCCCAGAGTCCCCCGTTTCTTACAAATTCATTTCTAATGCCAGTTCAATAGTCTTTTGTTTCCTATTACTACTTCCCAATCAAAGCTTATCTTACTAGATAGCACAAAATGTTTATATTATTGTCTCCATCAATACATAACATCCAGCAGGAAGCCATAGGTCAGGTCTGTCAAAACTCCAGCCCATCATGCGCTGGCCATGCCCACAGCTGGTATAGCAAAGGGGGGGAAAGTCCTGATATGTGACACCATGGTGACGCCAGTGAGTTTGACACCCCTGCTATAGGTGAATGCAAGCTTTCACAGTATTCCTAAATACAGAATGCTCAAATGGTATTGTTTTGGCAAACCTTTAGGCTTCTATTACCGAAGTCAATTCCAACTTCAATGAAGCAAAGACATTTGGTGGGCAAGATATATTACTGTTCTTCAGTCTACAGACTGAACATGCTCTTCTTTTAACATTTAAACTTTTCCATGTGCAGAGAACCTCCATCGAGAAAAGCACATGCTTATTTCCATTACCATTCAAAAGTAGACCAGTACAATATAGCTTGACCCAGATTTTTTTCCACCACAGCTAATAATAGATCAGTGTGAAGGCTGAGAATAGTAGTAGTACCGGTTTGGCTATTTCTTAGGAATTAACTTGGCCATGAAAGCAGTACATTTGAATAAGAAAAAGCAGCCATTTTTATTGAGCAACAATACTTAAATTACCTCCAATAAAATTAGTACAAATGGGATATGATCTCATCTAAATCTGTCAATATATGTGCATTATGTTTAAATCTGCACTTAACTGGCTTGAAGTCACACTGAATTTTGCAATTTGGGAAGGGAATTTCAATCTAGGTGTCCTCATGCTTACATAGAAACATAGAAAATTGATGACAAAAAATACCTAGTGGTCCATTAAAAACCCTTTGAGTTTTTAATTAGCTTTGCAATTTATTTTTTTGTTTTTAATTATTGTCAAGTGGTGGACATGTTTATCTCAAGCATAAACTCAGTTACTGATGATTGACCCATTAACCCCATCAAAAGTTGGTTCCAAGCTTCCACTACGCTTTCTGTGAAGTACTCGACAGTTCATTTAGTGACCAAAGTTACAACAGCACTGCAAAAGTGACTTATGACCATTTTTTACACTTATGACCATTGCAGCATCCCTGTGGTCACGTGATTTACATTTGGATGCTTGGCAACTGGCTATTTATGACGGCTGCAGTGTCCCAGGATCACATGACCATCTTTTGCGACCTGACAAGCAAAGTCAACGGGGAAGCTGGATTCACTTAGTAACCATGTTACTAATTTAACAACTGCAGTGATTCCCTTAACAAATGTGGCAAGAAAGGTCATAAAATGGGACAAAAATCACTTAAGAAATTCATGTTAGCAACATAAATTCTGCACTCAGTTATGGTCATTAAGTCACAGATTACCTGTAATCCTTTCTAACATTACTTTCCTTCTCTCATCTTCTCTCAACTTGGTTGAGGAAATACATTATAATTCAGTGTCCATCATCTTCAGACTCCCTTACCACATTCCTATCTGAGGATTATGAGATCTTAAAGGCACCTTGAAGGCTAGAAATCAAAAGAGCTCAAGTTCCTCAAGCACAAAGCCAACCGGGTGACCTTGGGCCAGTCACACTCTCTCAACCCTAGATCGTCTATCTCCAGTCTACCACACAACAGTCAACAGCTCCACACCCATTTGCACCATTTGGCTGATCCCGAGGACAGAGATAAACCTCCAGGTGGCCTCAACAATCCTCTAATAAAGGAATGCAAACGACCAGTGCAGAGGTGGCATTCAGCAGGTTCTGACCAGTTCTGGAGAACCAGTAGCAGAAATTTTGAGTAGTTCGGAGAACCAGCAAATCCTACCTCTGACTGGCCCCACCCCCATCTATTCTCTGCCTCCTGAGTCCCAGCTGATTGGCTGGGTCTTCTTTTGTTGCCCTGCACAGGAGAACGGAGTTGGAAAGCAGGTTAGTGGGCTGGGGAGGGAATGGGGATTTTGCAGTAACCTTCTCCCAGGAGTGGGGAGGGAATGGGGATTTTACAGTATCCTTCCCCTGCCACTCACATCAAGCCAAACCCACAGAAACGGTAGTAAAAATTTTTGAATCCCACCACTGGACCAGTTGTCTGCGAGGAATATAAATCCTTCTATTCCCCCCACCATTATCCAGTCAGAGCTGGAGAAGCTTCTCGGATGAGAAGCGAAACGTCTTCAAAGACAAAAGCGGAAAGGTCAGTTGCCTCTTGGGGAGAAATAAACCAACCAACCCACTTTTGAGACATCCAGGAAGGAGACACGAGCAAATCGCTTCCAAAATCTTGACACCCCCACTCAAAAAAAAAAAAAATCTTGACGGACTCTTCTGCATGGTCACCAAGCCAGAATCAAAGGCGCAGCCCCCGCATCCCCCCCCCCCCCCCCCCCCCCCCCCAAAAAAAAGCCCAACGGAGCTTTCTGGCTGTTACACAGACGGATCAAATGCGCCTTTTCCTCTCCTCCCCGCAGCTCTCAGAGAGTCAGGAGGACGAGCCCGGGCCGGGTTCTCCCCACGCCTCGTGAAGCCCAGGCTGCGAACGCGGGCAGCCACAACCTTCTCGCTGGGGCGGGCTCCGAGAGGTATTTAGTATAACGTTTTCCCTTCAACCGTCGTTATATACCCCCGCCGGTCATTAAACATACCCGCAAGGCTTTCTTCCCGCTTGCTCGTCTTTCTTTGCGCGCAACGCAGATTTCTTGCACTTCCGAGTTCAACGCGGCTGCGGAGTAACTTTCGCTCGGCTAACCCGGGGGAGGGGAGGGGGCTTTCCGATCAGGAGGAGCGTGGGGCGGGGAGTGGAGATTTCCGAAACCCTTGGCTGGCAAAACTGAAGGCGTCCGAGAAAGCTCCGTTCGCTCTCCTTTTCCTCCAACCTTCCTCCGGAACAGGAGCGTGAACGATCCCTCTAAAACTCAGTGTCTAAATCAGGGGCCCGCAAACTTGGCAACTTTTAAGACTTGTGGACTTCAACTCCCAGAATTCTCCAGCCAGCTACTCTCTAAATGGACCTGGGTTGGGTTTCATGCTCTCGTGCAAACTCAAAGATAGCAACCAAGAGGGGATTACTGAGGTGGTCGACTTAGGTTTCACTTGAGGAGGAAATGTTTTAAAACAATTTTTTTTTAAACGGCCTTACTATGCCATGCTTTTGTCGAATTAGACGCCGAAGCCACTACAACGTGAAAGGCCGCAAGTGTGAAAAACAGCCTTTTCATTACCTCAGCCCAAACCTCGTGTTCCACGCCCGGCGCTCCAGAACGTGAAAAATCCAGTCTTCCGCCAAGTTGTACGGACACTCGTGTGTCTAGGTGCTTTACAACATTCATTACGTGCCAGCGGGGTCCTGTTTTCCTGACGACCGCATAGATTTTTCTCCATGGTTACAATTTTACTTCAGATTAATAAGTTTTAGCCAGGAGGCAAGATACGGTGCTACTCGATGCATTATTTATACTTTTTATTTATTAGATTTATTTGCCTCCCATCTCGTTTCGAGTATTAGAAGCGTCTCTGTGGTCAGTTTTCTCGGGGATCCAGATCCATCATCCACGGCGATAATAACGGCGATAACATATTGTATTCCATGGTTGACTCTACTGCTATAACTCTATGTGTACCGGTATCTCTTCACGAGGCTTGTCATTCGGGTGTACCGATGCTGCGGTGCATACTGGGGCTTGTAGTTTTTAATGAGTTTCCCAGCCCTCAGCATCTCTGATTCCATGTTGGCAAAAACGTGGGTAGGGATACTGTGCCTGAGGCGCAAAATACAGACGATCACGAGTTGGTAATAACCTATAACCAATCTTTATCCTTTATTGGTATCTCGCAGTCCGCTTTTTCGCAATATAAATAGTCCTAGTGAAGCTCCGCAATACCGTAAAATTGAGTTAAGTGGGTTTTTTTTACACGCGATTAGAAACGGAGGGAACACGGAAATTGCCCTTTTAGGACCACAAGTTAGGAAGTCCAAAATGAAAAGAGGAAGATCTACTAAAAGGCATTTTATCCCGGTGAGTGAGGACTTGTTTATGCTGAGGTACTCTCAAGTCATTTACGACTTCTAAGCAACCACATACAATAAGTAGGTGTTCTCCGTGACGCTTTATCCCTAACCTGGGCTTCCAGGTGGCATTCATCCTCACTGGAACTGAGGTGTGAAGAGTTGGCTCACATTTACATTGTAACAAACCAAAACGGGTGCTATTACCATGCTATTTTTACGGTTACTTGGGGATTTCCCTGGCGTCGCTCTGGTGTAGGACTACTACTACCGTCAGTGTAAGGGCTGGCAAAAATCCGGACCCAAGAGACTCTCCCGCCACCATGTGGTGGGCGTGAATTTTTCGGTGCAAATAGAGAGAGAGCTCTGTTTCTTCCAAGCTACTTGAGACTGAATTTTAATACTCAGATATTTCATATTGCTTTAATATTTACTTGAAACTAGCATAAACACCGTCCGGCTGCTATTCTTCAGTGAGCAAAACGACATCCTTTAAGCCAGGGGTCCCCAACCACCGGTCCGTGGACCGGTACCAGTCCGTGGAACAATTTCTACCGGGCCGCCGGTTTGCTGGGCACAGCCATCTTGTTTTGATGAAAAAGTTCTTCCGGTGAGCTTTTCCGGGTAGAAAGCAGCGTTTGGGTGCTGAAAGAATCCTCGCGCCTTAGTTTCATGGGGGGGGGGGGGCAGCTTCGAACAAAACTACGGCGCGAGGATTCTTTCAGCATGCATGGCAAGGTGAGCCGAGCGACCGTCCCGAAGCCGTCGCGAAGCTCATCGACACAGGTACAAAGGAGGAGTTGAAGGTGGCGGGGAGAAGCGGGGGACGGCTGGCTGGCCGGTTGCTCGGCTCGCCTTGCCATGCCTGCTGATGCCGGTACCGGGCCGCGGCACAAAAAAGGTTGGGGACCACTGCTTTAAGCCATGCCTTAAGAGTCCAGACCACTCCTTTTGCTTATAATGGGATATGGTTAAGATATATGGAAAATGCACTACCTTAAATGTGTCAAATACTATTGTGACATATTTTAATGGGATTGGGAAAATTTGATGCTACTTACATCAGTAAAACCTTCACAATGATAAAACACTAGGAATAATATAAAAGTAGAAGAGTTCAAGAACTTTTTAAGTGAAAGCTGAATATACCAAGAATATGTTTTTTGTTACAACAGTCTAATGCTGTCACATCTGTAGAAATTAATAATATACTGAGGAAGGAAGTCTTGATAAGGGCAAAATTAGATATAACATGCCACTGTCTTAAATTGGCATTGAAGAAATAAGTTGGTAATAAAATCAATTCTTCAGAATTACTTGCTGGTTAAAGGTGCAAATGGTGCTATTGTCTGCTGGTGAACAAGTCAATCATTATTGGAAGAAATCAGGCATAAACTTAATTATAATTTTCCTGTTTTGGACATATGATGCAAAAAGAAAGGTTGGAGAAAGATATTGTGCTTAGAAAATACAGAAAGGAAAGACCAGCAAGGTGATGTCTTTCTAGATATAATTAAATAATTATTGACCAATGTATATTTTCTTTTTATGTGCACTGAGCATATGCACCAAGACAAATTCCTTATGTGTTTAATCAGACTTGGCCAATAATTCATTCATTCATTCAATTATCCATAGGGCTATCTGTTTTGACAGCAATTAAAGTAATAGAGTATATCACATCTGGCACCTCATTTCCCATTATGTAGTAGCCAGCCCAATTATAATCACAAGGGCTTACTTGTGTTTTTGCATTGCACTATAAATGAAAAGTTGAAAGAGTTGGACTTCCAGTTTGAAGGGCTTCGGTGACAGACAGAAATCCGCAATCGTGCGCAGTTTCTGTCTGGGCACGCTGCTGGAGCGCCGCAGGCCAGCTGGTTTCGGGGCTAAGCCACCCTGCAGAGGTGGTGAAGAGGGGGGAGACCGCCAGCAGGGTCGAGGAGAGCCGCATCTCTCCTCCTCAGCTGGCCATTACTCCCTTTCCCGAAGGCGGTTGCAATGGTGGTCAGAAATGGCCACCACAAAGAAGAACTTGACCGGAAAAGAATGTGCAGGAGGAAGATAAGAAGTGAAAGTTTTGGCTGACTGGGTTAAACTGTAAAAGCAACAACCAAGGTAGCCCGGAATTTAAACTTACAAAAAATAACATCGCTACCAAAGAAGAGTCGGAAGCAGCGAAGGAAAGTGAAAAAGGGAAAGGTTTGGCTTTTTTTTTTTTCTTCTCTCTCCTTCCCTATACTGACAACTAAGAGACTTAAATAAGAAATCGGAAAAATCCGATTTGACATCAATAGGCAACTAAGCTGAAAATAAAACAAAATGCCAAAGGGATAATAAAGATTTCTGGACATTAAAAACTTTCTTTTTCATAAGCAGGAAGGGAGAGAAAAAGAGTAAGGGCAGGATCTGGAAGAGGGAGGAGATTGCCTGGAATTAAAAATAATCTAAAGTAAAACTTCAACAAGACTTCTAAAAGATACATTTTAACTGAAACTTTACAACTAAATAGTAACCCCAGGAAGAGAAAGTGGGAAAAAGAGCAAAAAAGAAACAGCTTGCATGTATTTGGATTATTTGGTGATCTTTGGATTTTTGGTTATTATATTTGAATGACTAAAATCTATTGGGTGGTTGTTTAAAAATTTATACAATGGCACCACTTCTGGATGAATTGAAAATGGAACTTAAAAAGTACAAAGAAGATGCACAAGAAGGGAAGGATTCTTTTGGCTTCATCTTTCAATTCTTAGAAATGGAGATTTGGAAGTATGAGAAACAACAAGAAAAGACTGCAAAACAAGAAGACTGGGACAAAGAAGAAGCCATCTTTAATGAACAAGTAATTCTATGTGGGGAAGAAAAAGGAAAGGGGGGAAAGAGAATGGAGAATTTAAGACTTAAAAAAACAACCAAAGAAAAGAAAAATAATTCAAAAAATAAGTATAATACTGGAAAGCAACAGAAAAGGGGAATACAGAAGAGAGAAATAGAGGTAGAGAGACAAGGGGGTAAAAAGGGAAGAGAGAAGAAGAGAGGGAAAAAGGAAAGGAAAAGAAGTTACAAAGGACTGTAGCAAGATATAGAGAAACAGGACCTATTTAGAGATAATGGGTGAAAATCTAACTGAAAAAGGGATTCTGTAAAGGTACATAAGATTGTATTGTTATATTAGTAATAGAAATAACTTTAGAAAATTGGAAACAATGTATGATTAAAATGAGGGATAAAATAGTGTAATTTAGTGAAATGTTTATAAAATAAGTGAAATAAAATAAATGAGAAAATTGAATTAGGAAGAAATGGGAACATTTTTATTAGTTAATATTTTATAAAATATAAGTGAAGAGGGGGGGAATTATCTATGGAAAGCTTATAATTGTTCCCATAGAAGTATGATATTTAATTGAAAAGTAATGTTAAAGATAAGACTTTAATGAATATTAATATTAATGATAGAATTGAATTGGAATGGAATGTTGTTTTAATTATATACATTTATAATTTTTTTTCTTTTTTTAAGAATACAGTGTGTATTTTAAGAATGTACCAAGCAGAATCCGAATGGAAGTTATGTATTATATGGAATGTTACAACTTTAGGGAAAAGATATAAAGGCGTCATACTCCAATCAGTAACTACAGGAGAAATTTTGTTTAATGAGAAAAGATAATAGATAATTGAAACAGGACAGACAAAAAATATAAATACAATGATTTAAATTGAGATGAGATAATTAAAATAAAATTGAGAAAATTAAAAGAGGGGAGAAGCT